CCACCTGAATAAGGGAGATGAGGTTGATGTCATTTACTTGGACTTTAGGAAGGCCTTTGACCTGGTGTGTCCCATGATGCTTTCAAGGTAAAACTAAAGGACTATGGGCTCAGCAGTTCCATGGTCAGATGGGTGGGAAACTGACTGCGGCGTCAGACCCAGAGAGTACTAATAGACAGACCTTTGTCAACCTGGCAGAAGGTAGCCAGTGGGGTCCCCCAAGGTTCAGTGCTTGGACTAGTGCTTTTCAACATCCACATCAATGATCTGGGTGTGGGGGTGAAAAGCACGATGGCAAAGTTCCCTGATGACACCAAACTCTGGGGAAGTGTTCACGCATCAGAGTAGGCTGACATTCCAGGCGAATGTAGACAGATTAGTTAAATGGGAGGACCAGAACCAGATGCTGTTCAATACCGAGAAGTGTAAAGTGCTCCATCTGGGGAGGAAAAAGCCACAAGAGACTTACAGGCTTAGTGGTGCTATGCTAGCTAGCACCATGTCCGAAAGGGACCTGGGGGTCATAACTGACCACAAAATGAATATAGGCCACTGGTGTGATGCTACAGTTAGCAGAGCAAATGATATGCTGGCATGCATCAACTGATGCATCTAAAGCAAAAATAGGGAAGTTATTCGCCCGCTCTACTCCGCATTGCTGAGGCTGCAGCTGGAGTACTGCATCCAGTTCTGGGCACCGCGCTTCAAGAAGGATGTGGAGAAGTTTGAGAGACTCCAGAGAAGAGCCACTTGTATGATTAGAGGCCTGAAGAACAAGCCATACGAAAAAAGGCTGACAGATATGGGATTGTTCAGCCTAGAAAAGAGAAGACTCCAGGGACAATTTGGTGGCAGCTTACAAATATATAAGGGGCGAGTATCAGGAGCTAGGCAAACAACTATTCACCAAAACGCCACAGGGAAAAACCAGGAGCAATAGTCATAAACTTCTAGAAGAAGGTTTCAGACTGGATATAAGGAAAGACTTCACAGTTCATGTGACCAGACTCTGGAAATGACTCCCAGCAGGGGTGGTACAGGCACCTACCCCAGATATCTTCAAAAGGAGACTGGACGCACATCTTGCTGGGGTTATTTGACCCCTGCAGTTTTTCCTGCCCAGAGCAGGTGGGGGTCGGATCCGATGTTCTCACAAGGTCCCTTCCAGCCCTAAATGTCTGTGAATCTGTGACCGTCTACTTGTGCAGCATGGTAAGGCCACAGTTAATTAACACCACTGTAGGACAATACTGCCAGGCACGAGTACTGTCCTACAACAGAGTTTTTTAGTGTGCCATAATACACGTGTAGACAGTGACGGGGCTGGCTGGGACATGAAGGTGCTATAGCGCGAGGGCCCCCTGCGCTGCCCCAGCTCAACATGCTGCGGTCCTGGGCGCACAACTAAGCACCGTACTTGGGAACAATAAACTTCAGTGCATCAGATTTTATTCAGGAGCACTAAGTTCACATGTAGCTGCAAGCAGTTACTACAAGGAAAATATTTCTCCTTCATGCTCCCTTTCAAACGCAAGGTCTTTATTATACAGAGGACATGCCGTATGTGAGAAAATATGGTATATGTGAGGAGAAAGTCAGTGAAAGCCAAGTCAGCTACACTTGTGATTGGTTTTCAAATGTCCTATGTGTGGTTAATTCTGCAATATAAGCTGAATTTCCATTGACATCCTGTATCCCATGGCCTGGGTATGTATTATTGCATATATGCCACTGTTTTTGTTAACACTACAGTGATACTTGCATGAAACCTTATGAAATGTCCTCAAATTTCAGCTAAAGAACCACAAAAGAAAATGTTCCCATTGCAAAAAAAAGAAAAAAATTATCTGCCAAAAAAAGCCTAAATGGAAAATGCTTTCCTGCTCATTTATGAAATCACAAAATCCTCTGTTTATTGTCTGCTACAATATCTAAGTACATTTACTAATACAATACATTCAGTTCTCATAGAAACTTACATAATTGCACATAATGCTAAATGAAATGAACAGACTGGAATCTGTAAAAGTGCATTTCAATAAACTATTATAGGACTATCAGTTTATTGAAGCAATTCACTTTTTTGCAGACATAAATATGCGAAATAACTGTCTATTTATTCAGTTACAAACCAACAGTCTCTAATCATATTCAGGAAAAGACACTACTGCTACTTCAACTGGCAAAGAGAGTTCTGAGCTTAGGAATCACAGTGTTTATAGCTAATGTCCATGAATCATTTCAGGAAAGATTGCTGACCTGTGAAAATACATATAGAGAGCTCCTCTCTCCTATGTGTATTGCAAAGTTCCATTACCAATAATGTGAAAGCTATGAAAAATAGCATGTATAGCATGAGACTATCAGAGAGAGGTAGCTTAGCTGTTAGTCTGAGGTCAGGCAGAAGGCAAGATATACTATGCTGTCTCAAAAGGTTATGCATCTCTGATTCAATTAGTCTATAAGGTTCATATCTACACTGCTTTCTGCATGAGAATATCAGGTCTGTTTCATTTGGCCCTATGCAAATGTGATGCTGTTTGCAGTTTCATTACACTAAAACTTCTAACATGAAGCATTTCACAGCTTCAGAGCACTTTAAAAACATTAATTAATTTTAACATCTACACCTAACAAAGTACATGTTATCCCAAATACTGAGCAGTTATGTGATTTAGTATAGAGTAAATCAAAACAGCCAGAATTGCACCTCATCTCTTCCTGCTTGCCAGTACTTATGCTTTGTTTCTTAGATTATGCCACACTGTAGAGAGGTTTCATTGATGAATTTTTATCAAATTTAGATAACAAATAAAACACAAAAAAATTATAAACATTATACTGACACAGCTGATTGGTAGAAGTCCTTTGTACACCATGCTTTTAATCAGGGTTTTACAGGGAAAAGTTTTCAAACTGGTTACATGTAAAAATTGATCAGCAAAACTCCAATAAACCATATAGATAGCTGAAAGATGGTGGAGCTAGGTTTCTGAGATGCAATCCTGTTTATTTACTTTAAAAATGTACGCGTTCCATTTTTCTGAACACAGGGTTCAAAATGATAAGAGATGGCATCGTTGCTTACTGTTGCAGGCCTTTTTCAACCTAGCATTCATAGCAACATACGTTTCTCTAGGATTTTGCTTAGGGTCAGCTACCAGTTCTCCTAAGGTTGTAAGTGTACATAATTGCACGCTGTCATGCACACAAACCTGCAACAAGACCCAACAAGGTCTTCTGCTCACGTCGTTCTAATTCCTGAGGGGATTTGCATCTGCTTTTGTTTTGGTTGGCAAGATGGGCCTGTGTTTTACTTTGTTTCTTATACTTAACTTGAATGAAGGGAGGCTGTTAAACTCAACCAGTCTTCATGACATTTAACCCAACCTGTGGCATTCTTCTGACCCTGTCATAGTTTCTAGATCACCTTATAGAATATGCTACATAGGAGACTAACCCTAAGTGAATGTTTTGCTTTAGCACATATATAATACTTGTTATCTTGTGTTTAATTTAAGCTGTATAAGGTAATCCGACACAATGGGGATGAACATCTTATAAAACCCAATACTCTAACACCAGCATTACTTTTTGGACACCATGATCAATATTCAAAATGATAAAATACAAACCACCATGTATACAAGAAACCCATGGACCAACATACTGTACAGAACCAGCAATCCCCCTAAACACCCCAAGAAAGCTGTAAAATACAACCAAGCCCTCCAATACCACCGAATTTGCACTAAGGAGAACACCCTGGATCGCCACCTCACAAATATCGAAAGGGCCTTCACCCAACAAGGACACTCCTCTGGAGAGATAGATCACACTTTTGAAAGAGCCACCCGGATACCACATGAAGATTTGCTGCAGTACAAAAAGAAAATCCCCACAAATCGCACACCATTAGTTATGACAGATCATCCTTCCGTGGACCCTATACAGAAGATCCTCAAACTATTGCAACCCATACTAGAAGACGACTCTGTTCTTAAAGAGATCTTCCCAGAACCACCTATCCTAACCTTTAAACAAGCACCAAACCTCACTAACCTTATCACTAGAAGCAAACTCCCTATGACCCAAACCACGCCCAAGGGATCCAGACCATGCCAGGACAAGAAATGTAAAATCTGCCAACACATCTCCACTGCCCCTACAGTAGCTACACCCCACAACAGATCCATCACCATTCCTGGATCTTACAGCTGCATCTCCAGAAATGTTATATATATCTTATCCAGTGCACCAAATGCCCTGATGGAAAATATGTTGGAGAAACCAAACAACAACTGACTGAAAAATCTAGCAAAGACAAGAATACCCAATTACCCATGGGGGCACATTTCTCACAAGAAAACTTCTCTCTCTCTCCAATCTCTCAGTTCTATTCCTCAAAGGGAACTTACAAAACACCTTTCACAGACAAGCCTACAAACTTCACTTCATCAATCTACTGAATACAAAAAACCATGGACTCAATATAGACATTGGATTTATGACACATTACAACCTGCCTGACATCTGATTCATCAGATACCTGCCAGACCTGACCTTTTACACTTTTGTTCCCTCCCCAGCCCTCACTCCCCACTCTCCTCCCCTCCTTCTCTGCCCTTTGTCTTCCTACTCTCCAGCTATTTACTTTTTCACAGACAGCCTCTTTTCTACCTTGAAAATCTACTATTGTAGGGTCTCCCTTACTCACCTTTGGTTCTTTTTCCCCCTCATTTTTCCCCTCCCTTCCCTGCTCTACCTTTTGTTTTCCACATTTCCACCTATTCACAGTCTCACTGACATCCTGTCAAACTTTTAGCCTCTTTCATTTCTTGGAGTCTCAGAACAGCAGAGACTCTCAATGCCTGAAGAAGGGTCATTGCGCCTGAAAGCTTGCTAAGAACTTTTTTCCAACTGCCCGGTTGGTCTAATAAAAGATATCACATCTACCCAAAGAACTTTGCCTGCCTTATAGAACCCAAGGTAGATTAGATAGGCAGATAATTGCTTTGATGCTGTGTTGAGGAGTATCTGACATCTATAACTGCACAAACATTTTTACAATGAATGTAGAGCAGTGAGAAAAAAAGAAAGCAAGTGTGGTAGAAATAGAGGGATATGTACTTGTAGTTAGTTTGCTTAATTAAGCGAAGAAATACCCAATGGATTACAACTGTGCTATAAATAGCTTGAAACAACTATACAGACACAAGTTAGGCCAATTAGTTTTATGTTCACTTTGTACATGAATATTTTTCTGATCCCAAACATTGACAAACATTTTTGTAAAATGTCTCTTTCAACCTCTCCTGTGTTTTCTAATCACTAAATATTATTGTGCATCTTGTAAAAGAAAAAAAAGAAAAAGGAAACCAGAAACTTCAAGCAGTACTGATCACACATCTCTCTTTACACTTGGAAAGCATTACATGAACCCCAAGTCATCTCTGTCATGTGAATCCACACTTGTTTCTATCTGATGAAGTCTTTTTTCACTGTCCAATAGAAACCTGGATTTTTCAGAAGAGACCGGAGGGAGGGGGAGAAGGGGGGGAAGTGTCCCAAATGAAGCAGATTACCACAGATGCATGAATTATGATACTGTTGTTTGGAACTGAAAGACGACCAGATTTCACATTCTGGAGCTAAGTTTCATGGATTCAAATTCCAACACTGTGGTTGTGACTGGTAAGATTTTTTTTTTCTAAATTCGCTTCCTCTTTTAGCCAGACGTGGAATGCACACATGCCTGATCTTTGTCATAAACAGTTCCCTGGAGGGAAAAAAGTAGCAACTGGTCATACTAACAATTCCAAATGGAAAATAACTTGCTGTTGTGCCTTCCTAAGAAAATCATATGTATGTCAGAGAAAACAGACTCTATCTTGCTCCCTTTACAGCCATTCAGTTTCGTTTATTGTTTTCTTATTCTCTTTTTAATCTTGCTTGATGTGCCACCCCCCCACGCAATCCAATCCTTGTTGCTCTAGGCAGTGCCAAGGAGTGTCAGATAAAGCTTACCCAAAAGGAGTAGTTCTAAAGCATGAAATCCAGGTTGCATCAGGATGTCACGTAAGAATCCAGAATTAGAGTAATACATGGCAAATTTCAGGGTCTCTGTTTCATGGCAAAGTAAGAGAAAAATCATAGAGGTGGCTGTACCTCTACAGCCTCATCAAAATTAAACAAGACCATTAAAATTAAATATGCCAAGGAAGCATGCCCGAACATGTAGGCCAGGGGACTAAATTCGAAGGTTCTATCATTGGATATAGGTAATGCTGAATCACAAGTGCAAGTCTACCAGCTAGAAGGCTTTCTGAGCTTTAAAAGGTTACAACTCTTAAGGAATGCCACTACTCATTACTCTTGTTGCCACTGGCTCATCTAAAAGGCAATCATTAGATATATCTTGACATGCGAGTTGCTGGATAATTTTCCACTGCAGGTCACCTAAGGACGTAAGGATGGGGTTGAAGCTACATCAAAGAGATCTGTTATGTTGCTGTTTTCAATTCAGTACAACTTAAATTTGTTTTAAAGGAGCTCCAAAATGTGCCAGGCTGCTTTAGCTTTCTCCAGACCTCACTGCAATTGGAGTGAATGGGAAAGTAAGGGAAGCTTCTTACCTTCAGAAAAAAAAAAAACTGTCCATCTGTTTCTCTCTTTGATGGGTACTTTCTATGCTCACTCATGATGGGAACAACTCCTTATATCTCATTAGCTGTCCCCTAGACACCCCCTTGTTCAAACAGCTGCAGAACAACACGTCTGTTAGACACACAGGTGTACCTTCAAGGTGTTGCAAAGAATAAGCCTAGCATGCCTGAGTAACACTGTCACCTGCTCAGAATGTAAACACAGTGGCATTGCTCCCAGCTGTATTTTAAAATACCTAATAACATTCAGCCAATTTGGCCTCCGCGTTGGCTTAAATATTTCAATCCAGTGAGGCCATCTTAAAGTGAATTCATTTCTTTTCATAGAACAATTTTGTCCTAGGCAGTGGTTCCTTATGACCATGTCTGTAGTTAACATGTTGCATTACGAGCCAATTCAGAACTTTCATTTTCCTATAAATACTTTCACTCTGTCTGACTTCGTAGTAGATTGGGTATCACCGTATTTCTTCTCTGTAAATGGAGTGGAACAAGCATGGAAGGTGCTATATTGTCTGTGTGGAGCAGAGGGATGCTTTATTGTGCCTCCCCAGCCCTGCACATTAGGTAAGCTGCTAAACTCTTGCCATAAATTATTATTGGGATGCAATGCTTAGCATGGTTTAAAAGAAAACTGAATATTTACAGAAAAATCTATTGCTAAATTAATGAATATAGTCATAATCACTGGCATTCCTTCACAGTCAAGGAAGATAGTCTTCCATGGTTCCCTTATCTGTGGGCCCAAAAATGGCTGACAAGGCAACTCTGGGATCAACAGGTTCTATTGCAACTCGAGCACGTTTCCATGCTGGGTGGGTGGGTCTAGATCCTTTGCTCCGTCGGTGACGTGCTGCCTCCGCCACTCCCACCTTTTTATGTCCTGTTGTCATTGTGAAGTTTCAAAGTACTGAAATCCTTGCAGCAGGCTCTTCCTCCATTTAGGGAGGTCTTGGGTGACAGTCATCCACAAGTTGATGTCCATGTTGCATTTTTTTCAAGTTGGTCTTGTGGACATCTTTGAAGCATTTTCTCTGTCCTCCTTTTGATTGTGTTCCTTGACTAAGCAGGTACAATAAAACTTGCTTTGCAAGTCTGCAGTTGGACATCTGGATGACATGGCTGACCCAGCAAAACTGATGTCAGATGATCATAGCCTTAATGCTCTTGGGTGTTTGCTTGTGAGAGGACATTAACGTTGGTGCATCTGTCTTCCCAATGGATATGAAGGATCTTTTACAGACTGCATTGATGGTAGTTCCCCAGCACCTTGAGGTGTATCCTGTATGTTTGTCCATGTCTCAGCTCTGTACAATAAGGTAGGGATGACAACTGCTTGATAAACCATGTGCTTGGTTTCAAAACTGATGTCATGATCTTCAAACACCCATTTCCTTAGCTGTCCAAAGGCAGTACTTGTACCTTTGAGGTGATGTTGGGTTTCTTCATCTATTTCAGCCTTCTGTGAGAGATGGCTTCTGAGGTACAGGAAGTACTCAATCTTCTCCAGTGTCTCTCTGTGAATCTGAATCGCCAGAGCTGGAGACTCCTCCTTGTTAGAGGAGGACCTTAGTCTTCCGAATGTTAAGCCTCAGTCCCATTTTCTTGTATGCCTCAGTAAAGATGTTGATGATTGTCTGCAGATCTGCTTCCAAGAGAGCAGATCATGCACCATGGGAATGACCTAGTATAAATTATTTCACAGTATCCCGTCAGCCTTTATACTGGAGCTTGCACTTCATTTTTTCCCATACCTGTATTCATGGAGCAACAAGGCAAAATTCATTAAGCCTCAACATCTCTTACATTATACTCATAGGACTCTTTTTGTTCCCAGGGGTTATTTCTTTAAAGAAAGATGGACACTGGGAAAAAAAAAAAAAAAAAAAAAAAATCAGACTTAAAGTAGCTTGACAAGACCCATTTGCTTTACTTGTTCCATTGATTAGAATCAAAGATCTTGTCAATCAATCCACAAGCACATTATCTAATGTGGTTTGGGATGAGGATACAGTGAACGTGATGAATAAAGACGTGGGAAATTTTCCACCAGCACCCCCCCACACACACACACACACACACTTAATACCTTTAAATTAAATTGAAAGCCGTATTTTTTCCTTTTTCCATTAAAATAAAATTTGTGCAAATTATTTATTTATTTTTTTTAAAGCACATTATTTCCATAGGGCAAAAATGCAAAAAACCCAAGACCCTCCCAACTTTTCCCATGCCTATTTCAAATGGAAAAGGAAGTAAAGAGAAGGCATACGTGTTAGGAGGCAGGGGGAAGTCACCCTCATCACCAAACCATATTTAAAAATCATTTTAAAAGTTTCATTTTTAATGTTTGTAAAAATCATGGACATTTTCAGGTAAAACAAAACCTGCTTCTTTCTTTTAATGTCTCCTTAAATAGACTTGTTTTCCCAGTGAGCTCTTTAACAAGGATTCTGCAGCCCTAGACCATGGAGTCAGATTATCATCTCAATCCCTTTTCTTAGGCAAACAATTCCAAATCACTTGACATCAGTTCACTAGGTAGTGGCAAAGTAGTGGCTTAAATTTTAGTGGCAAAGTAGTAGCAAAGTAGTGGCACAAACTTTATTCACACAAGAACCATGCTTGCTTTTACTCATGCACTGACTTCAGGTAAACAAACCACATAACAAAGAACTGTTCCTGTGAGTAAACTTTGCAGAATCAGGTCCCAAGTCAGCGCAGGTTATATCTATAAAAGAGGAGAGAACAAAATTCTCATCCAGTTGACTCACATCTACAACTATGATGATCCAGGTTGAAGAGAACAAGTGCATGAGTTCACCTAGGTCATGTATACAATCCAATCTACATCAGTGGAAATACAAGAAGAATTTAACAGCATTTTTCTTTGGTTTCAGGTTTTGGTCCCTTTCGACAATACCTTGTTAACTCTAGCTGGGAAGCAGTGAAGGTAAGAACTGATATGGTTTTTCATGGACATCCAAATACAGAAAACTCATTGCTGTGCATAGTTTTCAAGAAAGAAAGGGCCTCACTGATTTGCTAGCACAAAAATGGTTCCTTTTTTAATATAGTTCAAAAACAAAGCAGGGTGGGGAGAAGAGAAGAAAAATCAGGACATGTTGAAAGAGCAAAGAATGGAAATGCATGAAATATTTGTAAGGGTGAATTTTGCTCTAGGATTTTGAAGTCATTTTTCAAAGCAGGGGCCTTACTCTGACAAAGAAAGTGGACATGCTTTTGACAAGGTGCCAGCAGACCACCCTTTCTGTGTAAAAGAAAAGTACACAAAAAGTAGATTATCTCTGGGGATATCTGCTAAATTAGGTGAACTGAAAAAGGATCATCATGCACACACATCCACCAAAATTTATTACAGAAGCCAGAAATAATGTCTTTACTGCAATAACTTGCTAGTAGCCTGCAGAAGTTGCTCATTCCTACTCTTGTTAGATAGTAACAGGCAAAAAAGCACTAGCAGTTCTAAATACACATTTGTATCTGAACTTTGCTGTTCCACTTTTAATGTAGGTGCTCTCCCCTACCTTGGAGGTCTTTAAGAGGGGACTAGACAAAGCACCTGGCTGGGGTCAACGGACCACAGTGCTCTTTCCTGCCCAGGGCAGGGGGGTGGGGCTTCTGAGGTCCCTTCTGACGCTGAAAATCTATTAAATTTATTTGAACCTTTTTAGAAATATATGCATGCACTTTGTATGGTTGGGGGTGGGGTGTATATGAGGGAGTTTGTGAAAGAGTGGGCAGGTGTGGGGTTTGTGGAGGGGGTTGAAAAGGTGTGTAGGGGGTGGGATTTGGGGGGTGGGTATAGGAGTATCTGGGGGTTGTGGCTGGGTGTAGGGGGGGG